GTAATACAGGAAATGTTGGAGGGACTTCTTTAAGAAGAAAGAACATGTATCAAAAACAGGAATAAAGAATGGTAATAACTCCATACCTATCAATGAGTACCTCGAATGGAAAAGAATTAAGTGTTCCAACTAAAAGACAGGGTGGCTGAATGGATAAGAAAGCAAGACCCTTACATAGGCTATCTACAAGAGACTCACACAGACTAAAAGGAAAGGGATGGAAAAATACATTGCCTTGATGGACCTAGAGGGTATTGCACTAAATGAAATAAGTCAGATAAAGACAAATGTTGCTTGATTTCATGTACATGTGGAATCTGAGGAACAAAATAAACAACAGCAACAGAAACAAAGTCATAGATACAAAGAATAGTTTGAGGGCTCCTAGATGGTAGGGAGTTGGGGGGATGGTGAAAAGGGCAAAGGGATTAATAAGTACAAATGGATAGTTCCAAAATAGACATGGAGATATAAAGGGTAGCATAAGGAAAATAGTTAACAATGTAATAATATGTAAGGGGGATAAGGGGTACTAGATTTAGTGGGGTGATTACTTTGAGATATAGATCTCTAGTCACTATGCTGCTGTACAACTGAAAGTAATATATTATTGTATGCCAACTATAATTGAAAAAAACAAATTGTTCAGTGTAAATGCAAGCAACTAATTGTCTATTGTATTTCAGTAAAGCTGGGGGGAAAAAAAAGCTTCCCAAACAAGAAAAAGCTAACAGTTTATCACCACCAAACCAATATTATAAGAAATATTAAAGGGACTTTTTTTAAGAAGAAGAAGAAAAAAGGTTGAACATATGAATAGTAAAATGGCAATAACTACATACCTATCAATAATTACTTTAAATGGATTACATACTCCGATTAAAAAGATAAGACCCATACATATGCTGCCTATAAGAGACACACTTCAAATCAAAAGATACACAGACTGAGAGTCACACTTCTTGATATCTATACTTTAAGGCTACAGTAATCTTATATAGTCAATTAATCTGTGACAAAGGAGGTAAGAATTTGCAATGAGATAAAAACAGTCTTTTCATAATAAATGGTTTTGGGAAAACTGGACAGATATATAAAAAAAAAAAATGCAACTAAACCACCTTCTTACACCACAGGAATAAACTAAAGATGGATTAAAGACTTAAATGTAAGATCCAAAACCATAAAACTAGCAGACTAGCAGAAAACATAGGCAGTAAACTCTTTGATGTCGCTTAGCAGTTTTTTTTTTTTTTTGGATATATCTCCTTGAGCAAGGGAAACACGAGAAAAATAAACAGGACTACAATCAAACCAAAAAGTTTTTGCACAGCAAAGGAAACCAACAACAAAATGAAAAGACAACCTACTGAATGGGAGAAGATATTCAGAAGTGATACCTCCAACAGGGGTTAATATCCAAAACATATAAAGAACACATACAACTTAACACCAAAAAAGCAAACAATTCAATTTAAAAATGGGCAGAGGACCTGTATAGATAGACATTTCTTTGACGAGGACATACAGATGACCAAAAGATACATGAAAAGTTATTCAAATCACTGTCAGGGAAATGCAAATTAAAATCACAATACAATATCATCTCATACCTGTCACATCAGTGAATCAACAAACAACAAGCGTTGGCAAGGATGTGGAGAAGAGGGAACCCTCATGTACTGTTGGTAGGATTGTAAATTTGTGCAGCCATTATGGAAAATAGTATGGAGTTTCCTCAAAATATTATATAACAACCACATAACCCAGTAATTCCACTTCTGGATATTTATCCAAAGCAATCTAAAACAGTAATTTGAAAAGATATATACATCCTTATGTTCACTGCAGCATTATTTATAATACTTCAAATATGGAAGCAACCTAAATTCTTGTTGATAGATGATTGGGTAAAGAAGAGGTGATGCATATATACGGTGGAGTAATAAAGAATGAAATCTTACCATTTGTGAAAAAAAAATGGATAGACCTAGAAGGTATTATGCTCAGTGAAAAAAGTCATACAGCGAAAGACAAATACCATATAATTTTACCTTTATATGGAATCTAAAGAATGAAATAAAAGAACAAACAAAACAAGAAAACTCATAGATACAGAGAACAAACTAATGGTTGTCAGATGAGAGAGGGGTTAGGAGGCTAGGTGAAAAAAGATGAAGGAATTAAGAAGTACAGATTAGCAGTTTCAGAATAGTCACAGGGATGTGAAGTACAGCATAGGGGATATAGTCAATAATATTGTAATAACTATGTGTAGTGTCCAGGTGTACTAGACATATTGGAAGGATTACTTTGCAAGTTATATAACTGTCTAACCACTATGCTATACACTTGAAACTAATGTAATATTGAATCTCAACTTTATTTGAAAAATGTTTTAAAATTAGAAAAAATATATTGTTTTTAGATATTAAAGATATTTCACATACCAATGAAATATGGTTTCTAAAGGAGGCTATGTCTATGAAAGATTGAATGCTGACAATGTGAATTACTTAAAAAATTACTGTATTGTTAAGGCTGTTAAACTGTTAAAGGCTGAAGGGATGGGAAACATAATATAGAAATGTCTGCTTTCATACTGCTTGGCAAGTGTCTTCAAGTTCTTACTCCAAGTTGTATTACAGTGTGGCTCATAGAGGAAATGCCACTAGAGGGCCAGCTGGTAGGCTTAACTCAAAGACGAAGCTTTGGCATTAAACCAAAGGCTAGCATATGAAAATGTATTTATACATTCTAAGTTGAAATAAATGAAGGTAGATATATAACTTTTTAGAAAATAATTCCCTGCTTTAAATGACTTTTCAAAACCCAACCAAGTATTGACTTGATAATAGGTAAGAAGATTTCTACTGTAATTAAATGTTTAAAATGAGCCTCCAATGCTGCATTTACCTCTTGGAAGACAAGTGTTTTATTCTTCTGTCCATTTCCAACGCTGGCACATAGTAGGCCTTCCATACATGTCTGCTGGTTGACAAAGTGAGTAGTGAAAGAATGAATCATCTCTTTATATCCAGTCCTCATCACCATACTTCAAGATATGTAACTGGAGATTCAGGAGGTCTGTGTTCTGATTTACTCACTACCCCAGTGAGCAGAACCAAGGGTCTTGCGGACTTGTTTCTGGATGTGTGGGTTCTTTTCTCATTACAGTTCTAGCTTTAAGGCGAGAGGGCAAAACAAACTGACCCAACTCAGTCCTCCATTGTCTCCAGTCCTGTTCCCTGGGACTGTTTGCCGTAGTAGAACAAAAGACTGCAAAACCAGGAGAAAGATTAGTGGCTATTGTCCAGGAAAAACAGACAGAGAGTGCAAGTCGAGAGATGTTTTGAAGAAAAAGAAATGCCGATTACATGAGAAGAGAGGAAAGGGCACTTTTTATTGAAATAAAAAGAAAATTAATCATTTATCTACATGCAGAAAGAAAGAAGACTTTAACTGTGTTTAAAATTCATAAATATTATCTCTCTAAATCCATTCAAAATATGAATTTTTATGAATGATCATAGAAGAAATGAGTCAGAGTGCAATCCAAAGAGGTAAATAAGTATTTAGAAAGAAAGGAAAACCAACACTGACTTCATTTGTGTGATTTTCTGAAGCAAAATTTTGAAATAAAAGAAAAAAGTATATTTTAGGTGGCTCACTTCATACATTCATTTTTCTGAATAACTGCCAGAGTAAAAGTATAAAACTTCATTGGGTTTGTTCCTGGATTAAATTTAAAAAGTCAAATATGTACCTTCCTTTCAACCCATCAGGGATGTGAATAATACTTTTTTCTGAAATATGATCAATCAAGGTCCTCTCTTATTGAATGAATGGAGATACTGAACCAGCGTACCTTTAGAAGTTGGTAGCATTTCTAACTGTAGTGTTTTTACCTTGAATTGTATTTTAAAACCTTCATTACAGATCTTTATTTCTCTTCCTCAATTGCAGCTCGAGTTAACCTTCAGCTACTTGGAGATTCACGGTGTCACTTGCAGCAAGCCAGCTCAGGTGAGTGTGAACAACAGAAACCTGATTGTCAAAACTGCAAGGTCATCACCTCTCTTGATTTTCTGAAACTGTGAAACATCTTCTGTTTGGTTTCACTGTTGAAAGTTTCTTGAGATAATTTAAAAAGTAAAATTAGAGAAAATGGAAATTTCTGGATGAGAGCCTGACGAGGCTGAGTGGATAGGAGTCGGGCATTGGTTCTGATACGGAAAACATTCTCCACAACGCAGGTTGAAAAGAACTAATTAGCTCTTCGCTAGTGGGTGATGTAAGAGTGAAAATGCTGTTCCTCAGAGATTTTGTACAAGTTTTAGCTCTAAAATTTCATAGCTGTCATACAGTACAATATAAGGTCTTTTTGGGAATATAGGAATAAATTAATTTTTTGATATTAATAAAATGTAGACTTTTAAAAACAGTTGTATTGAGCTATAAGTAACATGCAGTAAACTGAAGTGTACAATTGATGAGTTCAACATATGTATTCTCATGAAACCATTACCACGATCAAAGTATTTAATGTATCCAGCACCCCAGAGTTTTCTTGTATACCTGTCATCACTCGCCCCTGCCCTCCTCCTCAGGGGCACACACCTACTCTCTGCTGATACAGATTAGTCTGCATTTTCTAAAATTTTATATGAATGGAATCATACAGTATATAGTCTTCTTTATCTGCCTTCTTTCAGTCAGTATAAATATTTCGATTGATTTATTTTGTTGCATGTCTCAATAGTTCATTCCTTTTTATTGCCGAGTTGTGTTCCATTGTATGTCTATTTCACAATTTGCAATCCATTCACCTGTTGATGGACATTTGGGCTGTTTCCAGCTTTTTGGATATGACAAGTAAGGCTGCTATGAACAGCTATGTACAAGTCTTTGATTGGATGTAGACTTTCATTTCCTATGGGTAGATATCTAGGAATGGAATGGCTTAATCTTAAAGTTGGTATACATTTAACTTTTTAAGAATTTGCCACAGTGTTTTCCCAAGTGGTTGTGTCATTTTATATTACCACCAACAGTGTGTGAGAGTTCCAGTTCCTCCACACCCTCCCCAACACCGGCATAGTCAGTCTGTTTAACTTCTTAGCCATTCTAATAAGCATGCAGTGCTTTCTCATTGTGGTTTTAATTTGTGTTTCCCTAATGACTAAAAATATTGAACGTCTTGTTATTTTCTTATTCGCCATCAGATATCTTCTTTAGTCAAGTGTCAGTTCAAATCTATCCTTCGTCACTTTTTTAAATTGAGTTGTTTTCTTATAGTTTTAAGAGTTGCTATATATATTCTGAATACATGTCCTTTATCAGATATATGATTTATAAATACTTTCTCTCAGTCTGCAGCTTATCCTTTCATTTTCTTTACAGTGCCTTTTAAGAAGAGCAGAAGTTATAATTTTGATAAAGTCCAATTTATCAAAATTTTCTTTTATAGATTGTGCTTTTTTGGTGTCAGATTGACTAAGTCTTTGCTTAACACAAGGCCAAGAATTTTTCTGGAAGTTTTATAACTCTAGGTTACACATTTATTTCTATGATGGATCCATTTTGAAGTAATTTTTGTATATAAAGCAAGCAATATGTGGATCACTGTTCTTTTTTCCTTTTTTTCTTTTTTTGCATATGTATAGTATATCTATGTGTTCTAGTGCTGTTTGTATAAAAGAATATTGTTTCCTCACAGAACTGGCTTTCACTATTGTTGAAGATCAGTTCATGTAAATGTCAGTCTATTTCTGGACGCTGAATCCTGTACCTTTAGTATTTGTCTATTTTTATGACACTATCACACTGTCTTGATTACTGTAGCTTCATAGTAAGACTTGAAATCAGACATTAGTCCTTCAACTTTGTTCTTCCTTTTCAAAGTTGTTTGAGTAATTCTAGGTCTTTTACAATTCCTTATGAATTTTAGATTTGGATTATGTTGACTCTATGAATCAGTTTGGGGAGAATTGACATCTTGACAATATGGAGTCTCTGACCCAATTTTTTTTAGTTGTATTTTATTGTAGCTTTCAGTGTATTGGTCTTATACATCTTTTGTCAGATTTATTCCTAAGTATCTCATGTTTTTTTGATACTATTATAAATGATATTATTTTAAAATTTCAATTTCCTATTGTTTCTTACTGGTATATAGAAATATAATTGATTTTCGCATATTGCTCTTGCATCTTGTTATCTTTCTATACTCACCTATTAATTCTGGTAGCTTTTTTTTTTTTTTTTCCAACACATCATATCATTTTATACACAGATGACTGTCTTTTGTAAGTAAAGACAGTATTACTTCTTTCTTTTTGAATATTGATACTGTTTATTTCTTTTTCTTGCTGTATTGCTGCTGGGAGAAATTCCTCGTGGCTCCCACAGGTCTTACTGGGTTTGAATTCATGCTGTGACTCTTTTACGGAGGCTTCCTCTCAGGGTTATATGCGTGATGAGCAGCCTTGGGGGATGATGAATGTTTCTCTCTGAACAAAGAGTCAGCTTGCCTACTGTTTACTGTGAAGACAAGTGATTCTCCAAGCTCTAGGGTTCCTTTCCTGTAAGGAGCCCACTGCGTGTGTGGGCATTTGTCTAAGCCCTCCATGTCACCCTGTGGGATTTTGGGGGTTAGGGAGATATCTATGCAAACATGGTGCCTTTTGCTGGACCATGAATAACAAAGTGCTTTGTCTCTGACCCCGGAGTCTCCTAGCTCCTTCCTGAATTCATAAAACAGCAACAGGCTAATTTATGACTTGTCAGTAGGGTAACATCACCTCAGCCCCTGACAATTGCACTGGCTAACGCCTCCAGTAAAATGCTGAATAGAAATGGTGAGAACAGACATCCTTGTTTTATTCCTAATCCTCAGGGAAAGCATTCATTCTTTTTCCATTAAGTGTTATTGATGGTAGCTGTAGATTTTTCATAGTTGCCTTTTATCTAGTTTAGGAGGTTCTCTTCTATTCCTAGTCTGCTGAGAATTTTTATCAGGAATTAGTGTTGGATTTTTTCAAATGTGTTTTCTCTATCTGTTGAGATTATTGTGTGTGTTTTCTTTTTAGTTTGTTAACATGGTGACTTATACTGATTGATTTGCAAATATTAAACCAACTTTTCATTCTGGGATTAACTCCCTTTGATCATGATGTATTGTTATATAGAGTTGGTATTAATTCTTTAAATGTTTGGTCGAATTTACTAGTGAAGGCATTTGGGCCTGGAGTTTTCCCTTTGGGAAGGTTTTTAATTACAAATTTTATTTTAAAAAAATATATAGACACATCATATGTTTCTTCTTGAGTGAGTTTTGGTAGTTTGTGTCTTTTAAGAAATTTGTCCATTTCATCTCTGTTGTGAAATTTATTGATACAAAGTTGTTTATAGTATCCATGTGTTCTTCAAATATCTGTAGGTTATCATTTCTGATATTGATAATTTGTTTTTGTTTTTTTTGCATCAGTCTGGTTAGAGGTTTATCAGTTTTATTGATCTCAAAGAATTTGCTTTTTAGTTTCGATTTCCTCTGTTGAGTCCATCAATTCTTCTTACTCTGATCTTTATTCTACTTTTTGTTTTAGTTTTCAGAACTATAAAGAAAATGTACGTGTGTGTGTAGTTTGTTTTGGTAACATTCCCTAAAGAAATTGTCAAAATTGTCACTTTATGTTGATCGAGATTACATACAAATTCTTGGAACTTTTCCATAGTTCGTTTTAGAGGAATGTTTTATCCTATGTGTTTATCATCAGAAACTGGAGTTTGGAAGAAAAATTATAGCTCCATATGTTTGCCCATTTGGATAAACATATTGGCTCGTAAGTAGGGTAACATCATTCATGAGTAATGACATAACAAGGGATTTCTTGATGTTCTTAAATCAGAAGTTTGTTTATGATTTGGGAATCGAGATGCAAGCAGAAGGACACTATTGAAATGTTAATACCAAGGTTATATTAAAAATGTGTTATGATTTTGGTATTTAATTATGAGAAAGGATGTTGATACATCAAGACTAATTTTCCTGTGTGGTTGCAAGAACTGGTCTTATACCTCTTTACAGTCCTGTCCCTTCTGGGTGTAAAGCAGTCACCCTCAATTCCATGGAGCTGTTCTGTCACTGTAAGTACCAGAAGAATAGCTCTGTGATATGACTTCAGTTAAACTTGGTCCCATGGTGTGGACCTTGGAGATGAAATTATAGTGAAACAGTAGTATTGCTTTGGCAGAGGGGCTAGCAGTTTAGATATTGGCAATACCGGTCACTTAATTGTATTTAAAATTCGATGTTTTGGAATTGACTGGAGTTTTTAAAAAATACTGATACCTTCAACAGTACCCCTCCCTCTCCATCACATTATCCCCCTCCCACACACAACACACACGCATGCACACATACACACATGACAGGATTCCGTATATCTAGGGTAGGCATTTGTATTTTTATCAAGTACATCATTTGATCTTGTTGTTTCAAAGGTCGAGAATTAAAACCCATGTAACCTCAGACCTTTGATATCCATAATTATTATTATCTTTTATGTAGTACCATAAAGCTGATAGTGTCTGCCTGTGGCACTCATGATCTAGCCTTGATTAGTACATGCTTTTCTAATGTTTTCTGGGATTTATTAACTTTTTGTCATTGTTAGTTTTATCATTATTTAATTATAGTTTGTACATTCAAATAATTGCCTGAGACATACACATTTTGTTGTATGAATGAGAGTGGATGTGTTATTGAGTTAGTGAAATGTTGGGAGACCTTTGTCTTATTATACTCCAAGTTTCATTATCATAGCCCTTTCTGGAGTTCAGGTTCTGTTGCCTTCATGGTCAATAAATCTAGGCCAGCAGTTATAAAATTTTATAGTTAAAGAACTTTTGGACTGTTTCTTGTACAGTTGAAACACCTGCGATTTTTTAAATTATAAGGTTAATTGTTTGCTTTGTCATAGAATGATTTTCACAAATTACTCATGGCTATTTCTTCTGTTAGAGGAAAAATGCTTCACAGATCTATTAGCTGGGGTTCAGTAAAAAATGCCCCTCTTAAAATTTAGTTAGGTTATCCTACCTTATAAAAGGAGGTGGGGTAGGGTTGGAAATTTAAATCTTAAATGAGATACAATGGTTTATATTTCTAATTATTATTTTAAATGTGCATTGGAGGTCATGGATTACGTCCTTCTCAATGTCTAAGCAAAAAGCGTTTCATTGTTTTTTCCCAGCTGAAATAGCGGGGAAAGAGAGAGATATTTGAGAGCGAGTTCTTCCTAACGAAATGATTTCTTGTGTTAGTCTTACTGCCATCATCTTTGTTGCAATCTTTACACAAAGGTGGTGACATATTATGCCGGGCTGTGCGACTGCTTTCATGTAAGGTTGAATTTGAAGGCTCATTTCTTTCCCACCTGTCACCTATTTTTCTTCCCTGTCACTCTATTCAATCCTGTACAATTAAGGATGATTAGGTGTTAAGATTAAGTGGAATTAGAATAACCCAATCACTAATTACTCACACCCTAACTGTGAACTGAGTAGATGTACTACATGTGGAGAAAGTAGGAGTACTCAGTAGTGAAGAATATAATTAATTACCAGAGGTTGGAAGGTTGGGGACAGGGCGAGAATGCAGACACAGTGGCTGCCTCCCAAAGTATCTGATTTGTAAAACATGCACAGATAGGTGCATATGAAACATCTGAGCTAACTGCACAAAGTGGCTTTGGTTTCACTTAAGAATCCTCATTGAGGTAGCCTGGGGTTGATCAGTGAACACCTCCAGTTAAGTAAACACCTCTATGCTTTCAGTTTCTTGACGAACATGCTGCAAATTAGGATTAAAAAAGTTTTTTATACAGGGAGCCAAGAGGTGGTATGCATTAAATACTTATTAACAGATTTCTCTAAGGGTATTTATGGAAAAGTAGAATTTTCAGGACTCAAATCATTTAAGTCTTTTTCTTTGATCTCAGATTACGTTACTTTTCCTTTTAACATACATACTTTGAAGAACAGATTATTATTTCTTATTTGGCTAATTTTAAGACAACCTAAAGCAAATCTAAAAACTGCTTTGTTAATCCAGTTGGTTAGTTGCATCTTAAGTATGGTCCCCTGGCAGATTTTCTTACAAATTAACTAATAACAGGAAGTAAATGTGTGAGGATATTTTGAGGCAGTGATAATCCAAAGGGATTGCATTTTATGTGACTATTTTTGATATCTAAGACAATGATATCTTTTTTTAAGTAACTGAAGTCGATTCTTTTTATTTGTAATGTGTCCATAATCAACCTATTGGTCCTTTTCCTTTAAGGTTGATTTATACTTATTTATAAGACTGGCTATATGACTTTAATCAGAACAGTTTTGGTATAAGCTTTGGACAGCTCTAGTGGTTAATTACAGGAATGATTCTACCTAGCACTAAACATTTATTACCTTCTTTCTTTTATCTAATCCTTTCTAAGTATCTCCTTTTCTTAGAAAAGTTGAAAGTTTTATAAGCATTTGATTTTTCTTTTTTTTCTCAGGCAAAAGGTTTTAACATTTCATTTAAATACCTTATAAGGTTTCTTGTTTTTAAAACATGTTTGAAAAATAAAACAGTACCTATCAGGTTGCCCTCAGGCATTCACTAAAGGAGGTTTCTTAATTACACTGGATAGTAGGGCTTTGTATGACAGCATTTCATGACAAAGTCTTGGTAGAGGAAAAGTCACGTGCAAATGTGGAAATTCAGTTTTCATTACATGTGGGGGCTCTGTTCGAATCTGAAGTTTGGCCCTTCACAACACTGGTTTTAGTTTTTGGGTGTTTCTGACAACCTGTCCACCCTCTACCTAAATACTCCATTGAGTCTTAAACCACGGGTGTTATTTTAAGGAAGTGCTTCTTAAAAACTGGAATTGTATTACTGCATATCAGTGTGAGTTTATAGTTTATGTAATTTAAAATAAAAAAGTCAAGGAATTGGAGTCGTTATTCAGCAGTGTCCCACCCGGCTCTTGCAGATGGTTGTGGAAACTGAGAAGTCCAGCATGTCCATGAGGATGGCCTCGCCCGAGGATGTGAGCGAGGTGCTGGCTCACATCGGTTCCTGCCTGCGGAGGATATTTCCTGGCCTCTCTCCAGTGTGAGTTCTGCTGGGCAAGGGTGAGGGGAGCAGAGAACTGGTTCTTTCTCAAGCTGACAGATGAGAGCATGCCTTCCTCCGTCCCTTCTCTCAGCTCCTCTCCCATACTTCCTTCTTAAACATTAAATGTCAGCACCCTAATTCAAACCTTGGTGTTTCATGTCTGAGGTTTTCTATGGGGTTACATTTTTCTGTATTTTAACAAACCTGAATGCTGTGGGATTCAGCAGTACTTTTAATTTCTCATAAGACTAAAACAGAAACCTTTCACTATAACTCGAGATTTACCCCAGTTGAATTTTGCTCCCAGCTATTGAGGAGAATTACAGAGGCCAACTACTTTGTGTAAATGCATCAAACATAGTGTTAATGAAGACAGTGCTTCACTTTCCTTTTTATTTTTTATTTTTTTTTGTCCTACTTAGTAAGAGGAAACTTAAAAAAAAAACACTAAACATAATAATTAGCTTCTTTTGTTTTCTTTGAAATACACCTTAGGGATATTAGTAAATTTTGTTTGTACTTTCCCCCATTCTTTTTGTTAAGTGTTTAAAATCAGGATTATCCGCTTGGGTAACAGTTTGCACATAGGGAGTGTGTGAGCTGTGGGAGTGGGGGAATAGGTTGGCTGAGGTGAAAAGGCAGAGAGATGCTTATGTGAGAGTCAGAATACCATCCTGATGAGAGATGATGCACAGATTGTAGGAACCCCGCCTCCTACTGCTCTCCCTGCACTCTGAGAGAAATACTGGGGAGACCACGGGGCCTCACTTAGACATGGTTAGCTGTGATGGTTAGCTGTGCACCCTGCTGAGTGGGACTGCCAGGGATATTGCGGGAACTGTTGCCCGTCATGGAACGTGTCCCTACAATGATCTGCCTATAAATTAAGAGGCAAAGTGGCAGGAAAACCCAGCGTTTACGCCTTTTGGACCTTCTGGGTGCCTGACAGTGGCTCAGTGGGGATGGGAGCTTCCTGTCAGTCTCTTTCGCTTTAGGAGACCAGCTTGGCCCTTTACACAGCTGTTCACCGGATTCTGTCTTTACTTCACTCAGACACCAGAATGGAAGGCTGGCCTGGCGCCTTCTGGTTGTCCTTCTTCTGAAACCTAAGTCTTGTGCTCCTGAGTCTCGAGGTTTTGCATGAGCTTATACATTTATGCTTACCGTGTGCCTAATATATTGTTGGATGATGTTATCTGGGAACATATAGAAGTTAGAAGACAGTGGCCCTGGCTTCACACCACGGGCACTTGAGCTCAGGTGACATGAAACATCTGAGGTAGTAGCTGATTGAGTGTAGGTGGGCAGTGAATGAGCACAGGCCGCTGTGCAGAGATCTACCTGAAAAGGATGGAGAGAATTTAGAGGCGAGGGAAGGGAACGGA